ATAGGGAAGAATTATTTTGGGCTCAGTTGTGATTCTTGTTTTTCTTTCCTAGTTTACTTGTAAGTTTCAAGGAGGGGCTGCAGCTCGCGCCTCTCACTGGGATGATGTATGAACTCACTCTAATTTGCTTCTGAATCAATAAATTTATTATTATTCATCAAAAAAAAAAAAAGATAACACCTTTAGCAGATATCACTCTTCAACTTTTGCATATGCCTAGACTTACATTTCCCCCCAAAAACTTGCAATTTTTTTTTCTTTTCTATCTTCCTAGATGCTTTTTCTCCCATTGGATATGTGGCCTTTGTGGTACACTTTTGGGGCTGATAGATTTCTATTATACCGATGAAAAAATATGAATGGATGGGTGTTGATTAAAAGAAAAACCTAAGCTGGGTTAGTTAAGAAATGTAATGGAGTTACGTGGCCTTTGAAATGGGGATGCTATCTTTGAAGATGCTACAATGCTTAGGCCCATTTAGGATTGAGAGCATAGAAATAGTAAGCTGCTTCGTGATGTGAATTGCATCCTGAATATCCAATATGCTAAACTTGCTTGGATGGTCTCTAACATTCTCTAGCCTCCTGTGGTCTTTTCTCATCAGAATATAAAGTTTTTTTTTTTTTTGTTTTCTTTTCTAACATGTAATTTCTCCCTTTTTACCTATATGCATTTAGTTTCCTCTCCTTGTACAAGCAAGAGTATGCTTCTGCATGTTCTATTAATTATACAAGCTTCATGTTACTTGCACATTTATATTTTGTAACATTTTATAAGGTGAATCCATCATACACGTGCCATTTTCTGATAAAAATATAAAGCTCTAATTGCATTTTTTACTTCAATTATAAATTTTTTTAGTATTCTGCCATAGGTACTAACATTAGGCATCTATTCCTTTTTGAAAAATGAGTAGAGGAATAAATCAACAAATATTTTTAATGGATAAGAAACTAGGAAGATTTTGCAGTGTCAAAATGATAAAATCTGACATGGGATATGGTGATTTTTATTTGGCTTAGAGTGTTGCTTGGTATTTTTAATTCCCTCTCTCTTTGTTTAAAAATTCCAACTAAACATTTTCTTTTGCTCTCCTTTATTTTAGGATCAATTTATTAAAATTCTTGAAGTTTGTATTCCCTCAAGGCATATCCTACTTTATCTCTCATTTATGCCTTTTGCCTTATAAAAAATTTGCACTACCTAGCTTACACCAACAGGTATATGAAAAATTTCTTAAGCTGTAACTTAGAAAGAAAAAAAAAAACGTTCAACAATCTTTTAGACATTGGCACTAAATTTGTCAGCATCCTTTGCTCATTTGTCTTCCAATATGTGCTGAGGGTCTGTGAAGTTTTTTTAAATAATTAAAGCGGATCTGTGGAATTATCCACAAAATTGGATCTACAGAGTTATCATTACAGTATTTATAAGTTGAGTATGGTTTGGAAGAGATGCCTCTGTCAGTGTAAATATTATGAGTTGGAAGAAATTTCTACTTCTGCAATGAATTGCTGTAGTCTAGGTCATAGCTGATCAAATCTTCTAATTATTATGGGAAGCTTTCTTTTGATAGGCAATAGAGTCTTCATTACCATAACGAGTAGCGAGGCAGGTACAATAAATGTGATGTTGAATCGTTGATAGTAGACAAAAAGGATAAGAAATCTGCTAATAATAGATTTCTTCAATGGTGGGGTATCTGCGTTATATAGTAATAAGTGACAAGAAAGGGCTAAGCTATATATAAATGATGTATATAATGCCCAATCTAGCTCATGTACACGATCTAGACATCATCTGGATATGGGAAAGTGATAGAATGCTAGTAATTACAAAAACAATAGAAATTAAAATCTGAGAATTGACCAATGTTGAAGACCAAATGTACATAATGCATTCCTCTTTACCGGTGTCAGACAACTTGGGACAATGGTTGTTGTCATATATATGCTTGTTACATTCTTTCCATATGCACCAGCTGATTTGAGGGTTCTAAATACCAGAGGATGTGTCCCTTTTCACTATTACCCTTCGGCCTTCACAGGCTATGTTTCAACAGTCCATACTCCATAGCAGGCTAGGTCCCTTCATTGGCTTTCAGACAGTGGAAGTGATTCTGGTAGGAATAGTTACAATGAATGAAAAGATGAGAAACTGATTCCTCCTTGGATCTGCAGAGTTGGAATAGGTTGTTGGAGTATCATTCAGTGTTGCCAATGTGCTGAAGCAATAACTACTCGTTTTGGGCTCCCTATACAGTATTTTAGTTAGTTTGAGATAATGATATTTAAACAGTTCAAGATTAGCACAACTAAAATATTAGTTGACCTTTGGTTGTTATAAGCCACATCATCATGGGATTAACTGACTAATGAATGTTGCAGTTGGCATGCTCGTCAACTTAATAGTTGGTTGGCTAGTCAATATTTGATAAGGTGGTCTCTTTCTCTTGAGATAAGTGATCGTTGTAGGATCTTGTTGATATTATCCTTGTTCATGTTTTCTTCTTGAGGGAATCTCTCCCTCTTTTAATACAATTACCATTTATAAAAAAAAGTCAAAAGTAGGATCTTATAAAGATAGGCTGTCCACATAAAGAGACATACATTGGATGGTGTATTTGAAGGCCATACCCATCTTATAGGTAATAAACTGTTATTGCTCCCATTTAGAGTGGTGTAGGATTTACTTGAGTAATTGCATCTAATTAGGGATAATAATCTTTTCTCCTCTTGGAAAGTAAAAGTGTCACTTTTTGGGTATGAAATGCTTTCTTTTCCTTTTCCAATAAAATTTGTTTTTTTTTTTAATGTTGTAGGTGTTGCTACATGCCACAAACTAAAGAACAGTTTAATTTCAATTTTTATTATCACTATTTTTCTTGCCTAATTTATGAACTTCTATATATATTGGTTTTTGCTAGATTTTAGGGTCATGGCCTGACTCCCCTATCGGGATTAGGATGTGGGTATTGGGCCTATTGGTCATAAAGATATTGATGGCTCTGGACTTCTCATGGAAACATTACTTGTGATTTTAAAGTTTTAAGACACCTATCAAAAAAATTGTAAAGTTTTAAGAGGTTTTGTTTAGGAGGACTCATCCAGGAAATGAAATGGACCTTCCTCCTGCCTTACTCCAGATTTCTGGAAATGGATTTAAAAATTATTTAATGCGAATTTCCTTATATCAGTTTGGAAGAACTATTGATCCCCTCCAAAACAAACAATTCATTAGGACAAGAAGAAAGGGAGAAGATAAAGAAGCTTGGAAGAAACCCACATGCTATTGCAGTTGAAGGAACGGTTACCTAATCTTGGCCAATATAGCTTAGAATTATTGAATTATTCTCAAAACTTATTTCTGTGAAGTGTGACCTTAGATGAAGGACAAATAGAAGGTTATAAAAAACTAGACTTTTTCTTTTTATAATCTAGCTGTTGACCTAGAATTATTTGCTTTTACTAGGATCTCTTGAGTTCCATTCTGGCTTTTAATAGTTATTTTTTCAAAGCAAATCCTAGCAATCTAGCGTATAGCTTATGCCATTTATTAATTTAAGCTTTTAAGAACTATCTATTTCGAAACAATGTTGGAGTCAATAGGTATGGAGTAAACAATTATCCTTACCCAGAGATCATGGTATTTCTATGCTCTGCTGCATTCAAATGTTAAATCCAATATTGTCACATGGCTTGATTAGTTGCTTTTTCCCTTAGTCTTCTCATTGGTATTTCTATTGCTGTTCTTATTCCATTTTTATTGTTCTGTAATTGATATATTGCATAGTGCATTTTTCTATTTGACAGCCATGCTAATTTGACAATTTTAACCCTTAATTTCTAGTGCAGATGAAGACTGGGTGTGTAGCACTTGTGCTGTGTTTAAACATTAGTGTTGATCCACCTGATGTTATTAAAATCTCTCCTTGTGCAAGAATGGAGTGCTGGATAGGTAAAGTGATCAAGCACTGCCAAATTTCTTTTTTATATTTTATCTTAGATTCTCTTGTGTTTTACCAGTTTCTGCTGCCTGTAAAAGGTCCATTTGTCAGATAATTTAATTTTTCTGGACATTTCTAACTCTGCAAGAGAAAGAAAAATTTCTTGTCCATGGTTTTTTGTCTTTGAGGACTTGAATGGTCAACTGTTAACATGATATGCACCCTTGCTGAAGTGGGGTGAGTGATTTTAGCCTCGTTGCAGTTTGTGAAGTTTTATGTTATTTCTTTAAAGAAGTGTTGTATTGGTTGGAGGGAATCTCTTGTAAACTTCTAGGCAGGCAGGCTTATATTTTTGGGCCGTGGGGAGTGAGGATGTAGGATCTTATTTTTCTTTAGTGGTGCAAATTTGCTGCTTGATTTTTTATTTTTATTCTAATATGGTTATGCATAAAATTGATATGCACCCTTTCCAAGAATAAAAGAGGCAGTGGCACCAATCATCTGTCTCACATGGTTGTCATTTGCTTCATTTTTGGTGTCTTAATTTGACTTAGTCTGAAGATAAGAAAGTCTTAAATGTCTGTGTAGCAGTGTTTTAAAATGCGAGGGTGTAGTTCATAATGCAAGGTGTAAGCCTCCCGAGCACAAGGATTCTCCTCAAGAGGAGGAAGAGGAAGGAGGATCTCATCTTGTTTTTTTTTTGTTTCTGTTAGTGGTGTTAGTGAAGGGGTATTTCAGTCTTTGTACTTGTTGAGAATGCTGATGTGTACTGTTATGTTAGTTCGAGTGCCTCTTACTTAAAGAAGGGCACTCAAGTCTTTTTCAATAAGTCAATAATATAATAATAGGTCTGGCCGAATCAAGGGATTAACTTTTT